ATACAGTCAACCCTCGCTTTACGCGGTCCCACATTCCACGTTTACGCGGTATCCTGCCAAAACAGGAATGCTCACATTCCGCGGTGCGTGTACCCCTTTACGCGGAGAGCGGCTGGCGAGCCGCTCCATTTTTGGATCCAAGCCTCCTGCCATCTCTCCCGCCATCCGCCATGTTGTGTAAGCGGCGCGAGCATGGTGCGCACAAGGTCGCCCAGTCATCAAAACATTACCGAGTTCTTCACCCGCCACCCACCACAGCTGGCCCAAGTCAGTGATAGTGATAATTATAGTGAGGATATGGACTGGTATGGACTTTGAGGGGTTTGACAAAGAGGCCCTGCAAGCCTCTGTGGTGGATAGTGATACAATTGATACAAGTGATACAGGTGAGGGCCAATAATCTACCCTCTGCCTCAGAACCAACCGCCCATCCCCGTGTGCCCAGCCATCTTTTCTACTAATGTAAGTGTTAAAAAACCTAATATTATTGATATTTCTCTTAATTATTAATTGTGTGTGCATACCATCATAAAGTTAAGATAATATTTTTACTACAACATACGTACAGTGGGGTATGCTATATCGAACGGATCCTGCTACGAACATTCCTATAACGAACGGTTTTACCTATAAAATTGAGAATGCCATAACGAACGAAACTCCTACAACGAACATTATTTAAAAAAAAAATTTTTTTACTAATTTATTGTTTTTTATTACAAGTATTAATGATATTCTTTATTTCAGGGGTTTAGATGCATATGTATGCACTTTTTTACAATTTTTACAATTTTATATTATATTTTTCAGTGTTAAGTGGTTGTATTTGGGGGCCTGGAACGGATTAATCCTATAACGAACGAATGCTATAACGAACAAGGTTCTAGAACCAATTGATTCGTTATAGCATACCCCACTGTATATATATATATATATATATATATATATATATATATATATATATATATATATATATATATATATATATATATACAGGTTGACAATCCTTATCCAAAATCCTTGGGACCAGATGCATTTCGGTTTTTGGAATTTTTCGGATTTCAGAATTTTTTTTTTTTTTTTTTTTTTACAGGGATCAGCCCACCTAGGCACAGGTCACTGACCCACATTGAGGCCTGGGGGCTAAAATATTATAATTATAATAATAATAATAATAAAAATAATAATAATAATAATAATAATTCATAGGTCTAGGTCATGTTTGTCACTTTTGATCTTTTTTCATTCATGTATTTCTTTATTTTATTATTATTATTTTATTATTACAGTATTATTGTTATTATTATTATTATTATTGTTATCATTCTTATTTTATTTTTGTGCATTTTTATTAAAAATTTTATTTACTATGAATAATTATTATTAGTACTGTATTATCATTATTATTATTATTATTATTATTATTATTATTATTATTATTATTATAATTATTATGACTATTACATTCTCACCCCCAGGCCCTGATGTGGGTGAGTGACCTGTGCCCGGGTGGGCTAATACCCATAATAATAAAAATAAAAATAATAATAATAATAATAATAATAATAATAATAATGATGATGATGATGACGATGATGACGTTGATGACGATGATGACGATGATGATGATGATGATGATCTATCAAAAATCCGGCAACCTCGGGACCTGAGGAGTGCCGGATTTTCGAAAATGCCGGAAAACTGATGGTTATATTCGCTGTATAAGTTTAACAGAAAATGACTACCTGTACAGTCCTTTAAACAAAGAAAAATAAACACTTAAGTTAGGATAATATAATTGACATTGCTGCATTCCTTGTAAGACCAGGAATATTTTGAATATAAATGTCATATATTTTGCACAAAAGATAACATATTTACTCAGAGTAAACATTAGCTCTACAATTTGTATGTCTAATGCAAAATCTATAATGTTTATATTCAAAATGATTATCAAATTGTAAGAATTCCAGCAATGTAAATTATATTCTGGCCGGGTAATTTGTATGAATTTTATGAGCTAAAACAAATATCTAAAGTTAATAAAAAAAAAAAATTCTTCACGACACTATCTGTCAATCAAAGTACCCCAACTTGCCTCCCCCCCTCTTTCAACCGCGCCAGATGATCTGTCTGTCCCAACCCTCCCCCCCCACCCCCCACCTTCCATCCCAACTTGAGAAATGTTGGGTGAAAAAACTAATTTTAACTTTTAGTAATAAATAATACCTCAAACTAAAGTTAGGATAATATAATTGACATTGCTGGATTCCTTGTAAGACCAGGAATATTTTGAATATAAATGTCATATATTTTGCACAAAAGATAACATATTTATTCAGAGTAAACATTATATCTAAAATTTGTATGAATGCAAAATCTATGATGTTTATATTCAAAATGATCATCAAATTGTATTCCAGCAATGTAAATTATATTCTGGCCGGGTAATTTGTATGAATTTTATGAGCTAAAACATATATCTTCATTAAATAAACTAAGAAATATTTGAAAATGCGCGCCGAAATCCATGCCGGAAAACTGTATCAATACTGTAATAATAATAATAACCTAGTTAATATTATATTATATTATATTATATTATATTATATTATTTTTTATTTTTCAACAGGAAGAGTTTAGTAGTTTAGAAGCAGCGCTTCCTGATACCGATGTGTTGTACATGACCCGTATTCAGAAGGAGAGATTTGCAACTCTTGAAGATTATGAACGGGTGAGATATTTAATCGTTCTCATGTGTTGTACATGTTTATAAAGTAGGTGGATATATTGCTTTCCTTAGATTTTAGCAATTTTATCTTATTGAATTATTTAAATATATTACAAGTAGAAGATATTTTGTGTAATGATAATTTGTTTTCACCAGGCATGTGGCCACTTCATTGTTACTCCTCATTTGATGACACGTGCCAAGCGTCGTATGATTGTCCTCCATCCCCTGCCCAGGAACCAAGAAATATCTCCAGAACTTGACACAGACCCCCGAGCAGCCTATTTTCGTCAGGCTGAGGGTGGAATGTATGTAAGAATGGCCCTCCTTGCCATGGTTCTTGGAAAGTGTTAATCATTTTTAATGTGTTGTTCGGGAAATACGATAAATTGATTGGCGTTAAGTTTAACAGGAAATACCATTAAAGTGGAAAATTTCACAATCACTTTATGCAGTATTTATGCAGTATTAATAGTCTTTTTATATCTGAAACAAAGGTAAAATTATTTCAGTCTGTTGGTAGTCAGACAAAGTGAAGAAAGTTTCAAAAGAGTAGCTGAAAAAGGATATAACTTCAGGCTATCTTTGCCGAAGGCTTTACTATCTCCCATCAATCAACTCATAAAAGATGAAATGATTAAATTAAAGAGGCTGTTATATAGGTACTCAGTGAAACTTAGAATGGCATAAACAGATTTATTTAGAGAACAGGCTGCACATATTCTAATCTATCTTGTAAAGTATACCAAAAAAGTGTTTGAGTTGTTGAAAGTCTTGTCTAATTTTGCTAATTGAAACAATTAAATGTTTACAAAGGTTGTACTTATACGGTTAAACTATACTAATAATCCCTTATGGAATATAGGTACAGACCCTCAAAACCGGATCCCAGAAAACCGGAGATTCTCGAAACCAGATCCCAGAAAACCGGAGGTTCTCGAAACCTGGACATTTCTTCCTTGGGATTGGTTAAATATTCTTCCTCTGTTAAATCAAGATTTGTTTCCACAGACAGATTCAGTTGAATGTTTGTTTTACTTATTTAATAACAAAATAAGAAAGACAGCTTTGCAAACATACTCTAAGAAAAATAAATACTGTCTATTCAGAAGTTAAGAGTTCCTAAAAAGCCAGTTAAATAGCCTAGGTTTGTTTACATCTCAAAACGGACAGCAGCTTTTGTCAGGAAACATTTTCCACAAGTAGAAATAATTACTGTCTGATTTGAATAAACAGCCCAATACCTTGAATATTTTTATATTAATTTATATTTATAGAATATTATGGTTGTTCTTACTGTGTTTATTGGTAAAATTAGACGAAAAATTTGAGGCAGCATCTGGCATAAGTTATCTCAAATCTTTGGTTAATTTTATCAATATTAACTCCAAATAAAAAATATAAATCAATGTAGTAGGGCTATTTATTCAATGGAAGAATAATAATTTATGGACTCAACACAAGATATGTCTTGACACATTAGAAACAGCTGTAACTCCAATAACTATTTTAGGGATCTCTCAACTTAGAGATAGACTGGCTTTAAGGTTTATTTTTTTCAGATATGTATGCAATGCTGTTTTCTTTATTTTTTTAATTAAGTTCAACAAACCTACAACCTAATTGTGTGCAGAAGCAAACAAATCTTGAGGTAGTCTACTGAATGACTCGGGACCCAGGAAACTGGAAAATCTGTAAACACGGTTGGCTTTGGTCCCTAGGGTCCCAGATTTGAGGGTCTAAACCTGTTGTACAGTACAGTACTGTTTTTGTGAAGGCTATACTGTATATTGTTGACCCTTCATTTTGAGAGCTTGTATCATATTAAACACATACTCACCATTGGTCTAGTAATTCATACTTCCTGCTTCTCATATATATATATATATATATATATATATATATATATATATATATATATATATATATATATATATATATATATATATATATATATATATATATATATATATATATATATACATACATACAGTAGTACCCCGATTTACGCGGTCAATTGAACCCACAGGGTACCGCGGAAAGTGAAATCCGCGTAAATGGAACAACAGAACATATGGGATTAATTCCAATAGAGACTGGCCCGACCCCCAAACTCCACTTTTTCCGACACAATACCTATGTTGTAGTAAAAATAACATCTAAATTTTATGATGGTATGCTCACACAATTAATATTTAAGAGAAATACAGTCGCCAGGTTAATGTCCATTCAAATAATAGACTCAAATCCCCCCCCCTCTTCCCAGCTCACTGGCCCCTACCTCTCTGAGAAATGATTGGGTGAAACACTAGATTTTAACGTTTAGTAATAAATAATACCTCAGACTAAAGTTAGGATAATATAATTGACATTTCTGGATTCCTTGCAGGTCAGGGAATATTTTGAATGTAAACTTCATATATTTTGCACAAAAGATAAAATACTTGCTTTGTGTAAACCAAATTATTACATTAGATCTAAAATTTGTAGGCTATATCTAATGCAAAATCCATGATGTTTATATTCAAAATGATCATCATATTGTAAGAATTCCAGCAATGTAAATTATATTCTGGTCCAGTAATTTGTATGAATTTTATGAGCTAAAACAAATAACTTCAGTTAATAAAAAAAAAATATTCTTCACGACACTATCTGTCAATCAAAGTACCCTAACTTGCCTCCCCCCTCTTCCAACCGCGCCAGATGGTCGGTCGGTCCCAACCCTCCCCCCCAACCCTCACCTTCCCTCCCTACCAGAGAAATGTTGGGTGAAAAAACTAATTTTAACTTTTAGTAACAAATAATACCTCAGACTAAAGTTAGGATAATATAATTGACATTGCTGGATTCCTTGTAAGACCAGGAACATTTTGAATATAAATGTCATATATTTTGCACAAAAGATAACATATTTACTCAGAGTAAACATTACATCTAAAATTTGTATGTCTAATGCAAAATCTATGATGTTTATATTCAAAATGATCATCAAATTGTAAGAATTCCAGCAAGGTTAATTATATTCTGGCCGGGTAATTTGTATGAATTTTATGAGCTAAAACAAATATCTTCATTTAATAAAAATAAAATATTCTTCACACCGTGCCAGATGGTCGGTCGGTCCCTCCCTCCCCCCCACCCCCCACCAACCCTCCCTACCAGATAAATGTGTGGGAAAACCAGAATATTTACCTTTTTAGTAATAAATAATACCTTAGACTAAAGCTAGGATAATATAATTGACATTGCTGGATTCCTTGTAAGACCAGGAATATATTTTGCACAAAAGATAACATATTTACTCACACTAGCATAGCTAGGGGGGGCGGGGGGGGGCGGTCCGCCCCGGGCGGCACTTTTGGGTCTGCTCATCACCCATATCTGCAGCTACTGGAGACGTTAATCCATCCCTTTGTATCGGCGGCAAGTTAATCCTTGTCGTGTCTGACCTAACACCTGACCCACATCATCACGGCCACGTCATGAGCTACGTACACCCTTGCTATGCTCCCCCCCCACACACACAACCTGTAACCTGTTGAGGATTAAGGAAACAACTTCAAACAAGTACGCCAGTGAGCTCATGTGGTGTGGGTCAGGTGTTAGGTCAGACACGACGAGGATTAACTTGCCGCCGATACAAAGGGAAGGATTAACGTCTCCAGTAGCTGCAAAACCATGCAGTCTCGGGTCATATCAGTTCATGTACAGCCGATCAATCCACCAGTTACAAGCAATTCACTTCAGTTCTGCACAAGTCTCCATCGTGACAAGACGAGGGGAGGCTAGACGACTTTTAAGTTCTCTTGTGTTTTCGATCCAGTTATTTACTTCATTGGAAGACATAATACTATAAGATAAGAAATATTAAAGTATTGGTTAAAAAAGAAAAGTTACTTTGTAAAAAGTTGTAGTTTTCATTTCAGAAATAAAGATGGTCCTAATTTTTTACACTTTTTTACTTTTTCCCTATCCTATATGTCGTTTTTGCTTTTTGTTTAACTGTTACTTATAAAGTTTAAGTATGTTTGGGGTGTATTTAAAGCATACTATATTTGAGTATGTGAAAGTAAAGTTGTAGTTTTAATTTCAGAAATAAAGATGGTCCTAATTTTTTATACTTTTTTTACTTTTTTCCCTATCCTATATGTCGTTTTTGCTTTTTGTTTAACTGTTACTTATAAAAGTTTAAGTATGTTTGGTGTGTATTTAAAGCATAGGCCTACTATATTTGAGTATGTGAAAGCACAGTAATATTATAATGGTACACAAACTATTTAATATATATATATATATATATATATATATATATATATATATATATATATATATATATATATATATATATATATATATATATATATATATAGAGTGAGTCACTGTGCAATATGTATTTTTTGTGGGGGGGGCAAAACTCAAGTACACTCTAGCTACGCCACTGTTTACTCAGAGTAAACATTACATCTAAAATTTGTATGTCTAATGCAAAATCTATGATGTTTATATTCAAAATGATCATCAAATTGTAAGAATTCCAGCAATGTAAATTATATTCTGGCCGGGTAATTTGTATGAATTTTATGAGCTAAATAAAAAAAAAAATTATACTTCACGCGTATATGGGTAGATGAACCGCGTAAAGTGAAAGTTCGGTTCTGGCGAGGCACCGCGTATATGAGAAATCGCGTAAAGTGAAACCGCGTAAAGCGGGGTACAACTGTGTGTGTGTATATATATATATATATATATATATATATATATATATATATATATATATATATATATATATATATATATATATATATATATATATATATATATATATATATATATATATATATACAGTATATATGAAATGCCCTGTGGAAGAACTCTGTAACAGCTGACATACAAGAAAAAAAATGCAGTTAACGTTGGCCAATATTAAAATTACTATAACTCTTTAACCATAAACGATATTTTTGTAATTTTTCACATACCTGTACAGTGGTCCTCGGTTAACGAAATTTCGGTTAACAAATTACCTTCCATAAGAATCTTCAATTCGGTTAACGAACAAAAATTCGATAAACTAAATCCTTATGAAAATCACGTTTTGTTGTGAACAATAGCTGGTCAGCTGATGGCCCAGTCTGCCAATTCAGTAATCTGTTCTAAGTTTAAATTCGTTTCCAATGGAGTAAATACACCTGTATCAATAAATTTCATCTTTTTAATATTTTTGAATGTTTTACATTAAAATTATTAGTCATTTTAACATTAAATATTGATAATATATGCAGTACTGAAGAGGGAACTAACATACCAGTTTGTTGTTGTGAGAATCAGCTGAGGGGGTACAGTACCTCAGCCAATTCAGTAATCTGTTCTATGTTTAAATTTGTTTCCAACGGAGTAAATACCCTGTACAGGTTGACAACCCTTTATCCGAAATTCCGAAAACCGAAAGTTTTTTGTGGAGCATTTTTTTTTTTTAATTTTTTTTAACAGGGATTAGCCCATCATCATCATCATCATCACCATCATCATCATCATCATCATTATTATTATTATTATTATTATTATTATTATTATTATTATTATTATTATTATTTTTATTATTATTATTATTATTATTATTATTATTATTATTATTATTATTATTATTATTATTATTATTATTATTATTATTATTATTATTATTATTATTATTATTATTATTATTATTATTATTATTATTATTATTATTATTATTATTATTATTATTATTATTATTATTATTATTATTATTATTATTATTATTATTATTATTATTATTATTATTATTATTATTATTATTATTATTATTATTATTATTATTATTATTATTATTATTATTATTATTATTATTATTATTATTATTATTATTATTATTATTATTATTATTATTATTATTATTATTATTATTATTATTATTATTATTATTATTATTATTATTATTATTATTATTATTATTATTATTATTATTATTATTATTATTATTATTATTATTATTATTATTATTATTATTATTATTATTATTATTATTATTATTATTATTATTATTATTATTATTATTATTATTATTATTATTATTATTATTATTATTATTATTATTATTATTATTATTATTATTATTATTATTATTATTATTATTATTATTATTATTATTATTATTATTATTATTATCCCCCAGGCCCCAATGTGGGTCAGTGACTTGTGCTCGGGTGGGCTAAAAAAAAAAAGAATTCTGAAAACCGAAAAATTCCGAAATCCGAAATGCCTCTGGCCCCAAGGATTTCTGATTAGGGATTGTCAACCTGTATCAATAAATTAGAGCTTTTTAATATTTTTTTATGTTTTATATTAAAATTATTAGTCATTTTAACATTTATTTAACATATTTATAATATTATATGCAGTACTCCCTGTACAGGTTCAGTCTGGCTTTGTTTACTGTCGAGGGAGCAGCCATTTTGTTCGTGTCTTGAATATTTTTGCATTTTTCATTGAAATTTTTGGTCATTCTGAACTTTAGTTAACGCATTGATAATATATAGCGTAGTGCAGTGTTGATTTAAAGAAAATAATCTTGAATTACACCCAGTGAACTTAAAATTTTATTGGTGAAATGACGGCATCAAGCATGGGTCCCCTGAAAGGTGATTTCTCCTCCATCCCCACTTCCTTCTTTTCTCCCTTCTCCTCCACCCCACTTCCTTCTTTTCTCCCTTCTCCTCCACCCCACTTCCTTCTTTTCTCCCTTCTCCTCCAGCCCACTTCCTTCTTTTCTCCCTTCTCCTCCACCCCACTTCCTTCTCTTCTCCCTTCTCCTCCACCCC